AATTGCACTTCCCTCCTCTGAAAATACCTGATCCAGATGACACACATTCAGTTTAGGCCTAACTTTGACCCACCTCAAAGGAATAAAAACACACCAAAATCTGCATTTCCTTACTATCTTCACATTGAAGTTCTCCAGATGTTACACTGCCTTTAATGCATTAAGCTTTGTAATGCCTACTAACTTTCTAATGAAGAGCTGCTCTCAGCCCCAGATCTTGGCAGTTTTGCTCCGTGGTGCCTTGGAACAGTCACAGTTTTCTGCATGCAGCAAAAGATTCCAGACTGATGTGCAAGAAATAGGGATGCTTTTGCTATTTTCAAAATGGGTGGTACCTCCTCGCTCGTGAGTCAGTGGGAATTCAGTGATTGGGCTGCTCTGTTGTGAATGTTACATGTCAAGTTATTATTTGTCCTCTATAAAAGAAAATATTTGTTCCTTGACAAACCAAGGTAGCCCTTTCCCCTTCCTTTCCTCTTTAGCACACTGGATTTTCAAAGCTCTCACTTTTGGAAATTTCTATTTCCAGTCCCGAGAGAGACAAGGTGACGAGCTGTCCTTCCTGATAAAAAGCTTGCAGTATTTTTACTTTACAGAGTGGCTCTGTTTAGTTTGTGCTATATTTATAACCAGGGAAAAAAAAAAAAAAAAAAAAAAAGAAAGAAAGAAAAAAGAGAAGTCTTTCCCATCCAGTAAGAGAGAAAATAACTCTGACCACATTATTATGAACAACAAGTTTTTATTCTACAATGTAATAAATTTATCTGAGCCAGGACTTGTACTGGGGAGGTGTTTTCATAATTATGGGGCAGAAGGGGACAGGAGGTGACTCTTAAACCAGCCTAATTAGAGAGGTCTAAAAATAAAGTAAGAGCCTATATATATATATATATGTATATGTATTTATTACATGGGTATAAATATATCTATAAAACCACATGAGCAGATACTGTTTCTCCTCTCTTAGCAGATCTGGCAGTTGTTTCCTTCTCATGATCTGATCAGGAAGAGGTGAAGAGTCTCTTTGAGTGAATTGGCAGTGCTGGGCTCTGTTCCTAGGGCACTTTTGGGTCATGTTAGCACATAAATGGCAGATATTAGCATGCTCAGAGCTTTATTATTTTCTGTAGGCTCTGGCATTATGAGATCTGGAGTCAGGAACAAGTGTTATTCCTTTGAGTGCTCACCCTATTCAACAGAGGCACCCAACCATGTCTGGGGTAGTTATCCTTAGACTGTACAGTGCTTAAAAATGCTTTGACCTTTAGGAACTGCTGGGTGAACAACAGTTCAGTTCTGTGCAGGGAAGGGCATCTCCTCTCAGTGTTCATCTATGGTTTCCCTGGAAGAGTCCTTAGGTACTGTTGACCCCATGAACCTGGGCAACTGAAATACAAAATGAGAAAGGTCCTTCTCTGATCACTGCATTGTAAACTAACAACTAAACAGGATTTTTACAGATACTGAATTTGTGGTGATACTGTAATAGACCAGCGGCACACAGAGCACTTGTCTTCTAGTGCCAGGAAGATGTGGAGTGACTCCAAATTTTGGAAGGGGGATAATGATGGTCATGGGAGGGGCTGAGGGACATATGTCCTGTTTTTGGATTAGAAGATTGTCTGGGACCCCTTTGTCTTGCTGGGTGAAGGCTATTCCTTGTGTCTCTGATCAAGTCAACAGAGAGGCTGTTGTTTCTGGATTCCTCAATAGAAATTTCAAAAAATGCCGTTTATTGCAAGTATGTTTTCTTCATCTCCACCTGCGCCTTACATGCACACATCCCTTGGCAAGAGCAGTTCTATTACTGTGTACTGCCACCCCTTTTGGTCCTGACCTTGAGTACTAACTTCCTCTTCTGAGCTGAAGTCAGTTAACAGAGCCTGTTTCTTACAAATCCTAAGACAGTTATTTTTCTTGTTAGGTTTGAGGATTTTCTGCATAGCCCTCTGATTAAAAAACGTGGTGAGTGAGTTTTGTGAAAATGTGACAGCAAAGGATATGTGAAAATGCAAGTCTGACTGTTAAAATTAGGCTCTTTCTAGTTGTTATTGAAAAATAATAAACACTTGGCACTTCTTATAGTGCCAAAAGCCTTATGAATGTGAATTAACAATAAGTATCAAGTATTCTTTTTAGTCCCTTTGGTCTGGTAACACAGAAAAAGTGAAGAAGAACTGTGAAAAGACACAAATCTCCCTGTAAGACTACAGGGGAGATCTCTGGGGAAGAGGCCTTTTCCGTATCCAGAGTTTTTCTGGGTCCTGGCCACCACCTGAGTACAAATAAAGAATAACAGTGTCTGAACTTTCCATCTTTGCTCATTCTTCTAAGTCTTGGTGCCTCCCACTACATGTGATTTTATCATTAAGAAGAAGAAAAATGTAAGTACTTCCTTAACAATTTCTGCTGGTAATGAGATTGTAATCAGAATGCTCACATCCTTTGAAGTACCCATTATAGGAACAAGTACATGGCTCACTATCTTGGCATTGTTTGTTGCAGTGAGTACTATTTTTAATACTCACATGTGTACTTTGGCTAATAGGTTGGTTATTTTATCCTTTGTTTCTTCAGTCACTGCAAAACATGACCCGATGCAGGTGCTTTATTAACATTTATTTCCTTACACTCATCTAAACCAAAAGCAAACCTCTCACATTACGTTTATTTTACAACTAAAGACCTGCTATTTCCTGCTATCATCTCTACTTTTGAAGACCAACGCAAATAAATTATTTAGCTTTCTGTAATCTCCTTGTCATCACTGATTATTGCTTTTACATTATGATTGTTACAGCCCCCATTATATCTCCTGGAAACTCTTCACTTCAAATTACTTAATTGGACGTGTAATTTTTTTAACCTATGGGTGTTCTTTTCTAGTTTGCCCATAGTTCAGCTCATCTGTATTTCTCCCAACATTTTCTGTGATTTCTTTCTGTCAGTCCCACATGGGCTTGAATCCTATTGTTTTAAAGCCAACATGAAACAAATTCCTGTTACTTGTCTTTTAAACAACTGACTTGTTCTTTATTTTCTCTCTCTGTGGTGTTGTTTTGTTTTGTTTTGTTTTTTCCCCTTTATGCAATGAAATGCAATGAGACTTGAAGAAGAGTAATTTACTCAGCCTCAACTTTCCTTCAGGCTGCTTGTGGCTGGAGAAGGGCCCAAGCTAAAACAGTAAGGTCAACAACCCTTCCTTCCTGTAACTTCCCCATCTACTGAACAGAGCAGTGTTGAAACTCTGTGCCCAAATCCACATCCAGACTTTTCTAGTAGTCCATAATTTCATAGTGGACTAAAGTAAACTTGGCTCCAGACCAACTCTTTCTTCTTAGATGCTGGCTGTCATCCTATCTTCATCTGGAACGACTTCCTGCGTAACTCCCTTGTACTGTTGTGTACAATTGTGTCTGGAGTTTGAATAGAAACCCTCTTCCCCTGTAACTTGTGACAGCAAAAATTAATGTTATTAAAGAACAAAATTACAAGGAAAGTGAGGGGTGGAAGAAGATCTGGTGTCTGGTGCAGAAAACAATAGCTAAATATGCTGCTGAGAGTTTTGTCTGGAGACACTATTAAGATTGGGGTACTGTTCTCTGATTCTACCCTCATTTCTGTAGCCAGTGAGGGTTCTTTGAGCACAAAAAAGACACATGAAGTCCTCTCTACATTGTAGGTGAAATTGCAGAGCAGTCAGAGAGATCCAGAATTGCAGGGTCTCAAGGAACTTGAAGCCTTTCCTCAGGGAAAGGTTTCTCCCTCCTGGTTTGTCCTGGTTGGGTTTTACTAATTAAATCCTTCCTAGGGACATGTTCAGTGGTTCACTCTACAAGCAACTCCAGGCTGTCTGCATGTACTGTATTTCAATGACAACTTTGCCTGTTTAACATAGGCAGCACAGATATTTTAACAAGCATTTCCTGCTTATTTAAATGTTTGTTCTTTGATGCTGAAAGCCAACTCCACCGCTGGCCCAAGGATCTGAGCCCACTTCCGCTCCCTCAGCTACCATCCATACAGGAGAACATTGCAACCAAAGCAAGAAAGATGATGAGAACTTCCATGTACAATCCTGGAAGCCAGAAAGGACTTTTGTTTCCAGAGGCAGAAAAAGCTGCACCAGGCTTAGATCTGGCATATCTACATGTAAGTTTCAGGCATAGAGAGTGTGAGGCCGGGAGAAGGTCTGTCTGCTCTGCAGAAGCAATGGGACAGGGGTATCACTTGAAAAGGTCAGCTACTGCTCATTTGGGTTCAGAGATGATACATCAGAATTTCCTACTTCTGAACAAATCAAGATTAAGACAGATAGGGCTTGCTTCTTTAAAAGCTATATGCAAGGAAGAGGAGGCTAAAGTGCA